AAGAACTAATAAGCACATCAAAAATTATTTTTTAAGATCCCTTAACTACTCAAATTTTGCTCTGAATTAAACAAATAGTTAACCCATAATATTATTCCAGTTAATTGCTATTGAAATTAAAATTCATTAACTTATGTTTGATGATTAGATTGTGATTATATAATATCACCAAAACAGTAAATTGATTTCATTTGTTTTTGTTTAAAAATTAAATGCAAGGCTACATAAATAATTGATTTACTTTAAATAAGGTTTGTATTTACCTGAAAAAAACTAAAATCCCGCCTACATAAATAACTTTTTTCGCATTAAAAAAAAAAAGCATATAACAAATTCATTTTTTAGATCCCTTCACTACTCCAAGCACACAATTTATGGTGTCTTTTAAAAATCAACTATGGTAGTTGCGGCTGAATAATTAAAGAACTAATTAATAAGCACATAAAAAACTATTTTTTTATGAACCCTTAACTATTCAAATCGTGGCTCTTAATTAAGCAAATAGTTAACCCATAATATGATTACAATCTTTATATATATAAAAAGGTTTGTATTTTTCTAAAATATTAATTGAAATCCCGCAAAAAATTCAATTATACCTTTAGTAGTAAGTTTTTTTTAAAAAATATTTATTAGTTGCATAAATTTAGTATATTGACAAAATTTCCACCTATTACCATTATTAATCGCATGATTTAAATATGGTATATAATATATTAAAAATATATTTAAAATTAATAATCAAATAAACAATTATACATAACTTACGAGTCAATATTTATTTATAGTTTAATAAGTTACTCAACTACTTAAATTTTTTAATTTAGATAGGTTATACAAAAATAAATTCATTTTAATTAATGGAACAGTATAATTTTAAATACTTATTATTCACATACATTTTTAAATATATGATCAAATTTTATCAAAATAATTATTTTATGGAATCACATTATAGTCAAACTGAATTTCAGAATAAAAATTTTGAAATCACACTTATTTTTAAATGAATATAATATAATTTACCATCAGGTATGTGAACCGCACGAGTTGTGTACTAATTTTAAATAGACATTTTTATATAATTTTGCACAAATTAAATTTATATATAAAATTTTTAGTAAATTAATATAGGTAAATTGTATTACATATTGATTTCATATTTTTAATTTGTAAATATTATTTAATGAAAATTTTTAATTTATAAATATTAATGAATATCTTCTACCCGTACATCGCACGAGATTCATACTAGTATATTAAGCATTTACTAAAAAGTAGTATTTAAAAAAACTTAATCTAAAAAATAAAGTTCTTAATAAAGAAAAATTGTTATCCTTTTTATTAATTGTATACTTTTCTCGGTTTTAACACTTTGATCCATCCCTTCCTCTCCCATAGAGGCTTTTACCCGCTCGTAGACTGATATATTACTTTAAAATGAATATAATGTAATTTATTATTTGTTACGTGCACCGCATTGGTTGTGTATTAATTCTAAATAGAAATAATTTATATAATTTTACACAATTTAAATTTCATATAACATTTTCAATAAATTATGTATTACATAATAATTTTATATTATTAATTTTACATATTATTTAACGAACAATTTTAATTTATAAATATTAATAAATATCTCTTGCACGTGAATCGCACGGGATTCGTACTATTTGTAAATTAAATAAATACATGATAAGAAATGTGAAGTCCAAATAGACTCAATATATATATGTCAGAATCAGAAGACCGCTTGTTTACATTTTCTACAGTAAATATCTCACTCAAAAATCAAATTTAACTCAACCATTATCTCCAATATCACCAATATAATCAAATAATATCAACCAATCATTATTGTACATCACATCAACTTTAATTCACTATTCATCAACTCACATAATTTTAACTAATCATCACTTTCAATCATTTTCTCCTACTTTTACATCATATCAACTTTAATTATTGTAATTTAAATATTATTTTAATATATCAACTAACAACTAATCATACTACTTTTCTTCAAACTTAACTATAGTTAAATATAAACTAGTTTTTTTACTAGTTGAATTCATATCCAATCACCTCTTACTCACTATGAACACTTTCATGGATGATCAATTATAATAGTTTGTGTAGTTTAATCTAAGTCAAGTCAACCCGATCGAGGGTACATTGGCTAATAATTCCACAATTATTCCACAAATGACTAAACACGCATTCAAGTATTTCACGATCACATCTCCTTCATGGGAAATTTAACATTTAAATTTTGGTCAGCACTATGAGTATCACTAATTAACAAACTCTTTCATAGATATTGAAATGAGTGAACAAAAACTTGTTCCTTAGTTTCTGTAACAATGGGTACTGGGTGTCAAAAATATAAATACACCTGTTAATCATAAGTTTAGTAAATAATTTCTGACTAAAAACATACAATTAAAGTTACACTAAAGTAAAACTTATTTAGACTAAAGTGCTTATTCAACATTACAAGAGGAACACAACCAAACAAAAAAAAAAAAAAGGTTTACTTGGAGTCAAGTCAATGCAAGTGCAAGTACTTTTTCTCATGACAACTAACCATATATGCGAAATCATCATAAATGGCTATATAATAGAGCCTTATGGTAAAATATACTACTACCAACATCTAGCAAGCTTTCCTATACTTATTCTCAAGCCTATATCCAATCAATATATATATGTGTGTGTATAAAATGGAGAAAATGGTGTTCTCTTCAATGCTCCTCCCCGTCATCTTCTTCTTAATAATGTTTGAGCCCGCCATATTGTGTCTGTCATCAAATAATAATTTTACTTTTAATGATTGCATTCCAAGGGAGAGGATATCTCTCTTGAGGTTGAAAGCAAGCCTGTTGGATAAGTCTGACGGGCTTTCTTCGTGGAATAACACCCGATACAAATGTTGTAACTGGCAAGACGTAAAGTGTGATAAAGCGACTGGGCATGTTATCGGGCTTGATCTCAGAAATCGAGTTCTGGATAATTATGGGGACCCGAGCTCTGATAGCATGTTACAAAGTGAAACACTTGATTCTTCCTTGCTTGAAATGAAGCATCTCAAGTACCTTGACTTGAGTGCGAATAATTTCAAGGACAGCTCGATTCCATCATTCCTAGGATCATTAAACAAACTGCAATATCTCAATCTCTCAAATGCAGGCTTTGGATGTGTTATCCCTCACCAGCTCGACAACCTCTCAACCTTGTGTGCACTTGATCTTGGTGGACTGTTATCTTCTCTAAGAGTCGACAATCTCATATGGGCTGCTATTCTTTCATTGCTGGAGTCCCTTGATATGTGTCATGTCAACCTTAGCACCACAAATGATCACCTTGCGACGGTACTCAATACATTTCATTCTTTAGAAATATTAAGCTTGTCACATAGCGGGCTTGATAACACATACCTACCTCATACTAGTTGCTTAAATTCCACGCTATCTACTAATTTACAACACCAAGATTTGAGTAACATTCTCTTTAAAGGAGGCATTCCATGCTTTCTCTGTAACATGACTTCATTGCATTTCTTGATCTTTTTTTCCAACCAATACACCTCATTAGACCCTCATTTTCTTCTGTCGAGAAATCTTCAATATCTCAACCTTGAAGGTAACTCACTTAATTATTACACAGATTGGATCTCTGATCTGCTGTGGGATAAATGCCACTTGAAATCATTGAACCTAGGGAATAATCATTTTCATGGAGATATCTCGGTATTATTAATTAAAAATTTATCGAGATGCTGGAGCCACAACTTGGAGAATTTGGAGTTGTGGAGTAATGATTTTCACGGGCAGTTTCCTAAAGAACTTGGTGAACTGAAGCAGCTAAAGGAGTTAGATTTGTCTGATAACAAGTTGACTAGTCCAATCCCAATAAATTTATCAAGATGCTGGATCCACAACATGGAGAACCTAGAGTTGTGGAGCAATAATTTTTACGGGCAGTTGCCTGAAGAACTTGGCAAACTGAAGCAGTTAAAATGGTTAGATTTGTCTGATAACAAGTTGTCTGGTCCAATTCCAACTATTGTGGGACAACTTTCAGATTTGGAGTGGATTGACATATATGGTAATACCTTTGAAGGTACGCTCATAGAGGCCCACTTTGAGAAGCTATTCAAACTTAAAGGATTTAGGACTGGGTCTAACATGTTTACATTCAGAGTGGGAGATGATTGGACCCCTCATTTTCAACTAAATCCCTTTATATGTCATCCACTGATATCGGAGGCCAATTTCCACAGTGGCTTTAAACACAAAAATCACTACACTATTTGTACCTATCTAATTGTAGCATTAGAGGCATGTTGCTGAAATGGCTCCATTCCATAAAAAATATGACTGATTTAGACATATCCAACAACCATATTGATGGATCTATTTCAAATCTTCCTTTCAGAATCCAAGTTTCAGATCTATCAAATAACGTGATAACTGGTTCGATATCCCCTTCCTTATGCCAACTGAGAGATTTGTTTTATAGGCATCTCTCCAAGAATCTATTGTCAGGTCACCTTCCACAATGTTGGGCTAACTTATCTTACTTAAGGGTTGCAACATTGTCATCTAATAAGCTTTCTGGGCCCATTCCAAACTCCATTAGTGGAGCTTACTCGTTGAGATGGTTGCAACTGAGTAACAACAGTTTTATAAAAAAACTCCCTCCAAATTTGAAAAATTGCACCCAGTTAATGGGTTTGGATATTGGAGACAACAAGTTATCAGGGAAAGTTCCAGAATGGATTGGAAACAATCTGCTTAATCTGGCATTTCTTAGGCTAAGGAACAACAAATTGTACGGAGACATTCCATCCTCTTTATGTCAGATGTCCAAACTTCAAATAATGGACCTTGCAAACAACCAGTTGACCAGAAACATCTCACGTTGCTTTGGCAATTTTTCGGGAATGGTCCACAATAAAACCACTCGCGGTGAGTATTCATTCATATAAAACTTTCATGATATTATTCGTGTATTCAACATTTCTTAGTTCGTTACTGATGATCTAAGAGTTAGTTGGAGGAAATGAATTTTTTTAACTTGTTCATTTTGATCACTAAATCAACTTTTTTTTTTTTTAAAAAAAAAAAGTTAGTCTTGTGGGGTGAGGTATTTTCCTCAAGTATAAGCCAAAAAAAAAAAGATTTTTTTTTTCAATAAAAGGAAGCTAAATGTGACTTGATCGTGACAGTGATAAATAGTAAATTTAGCAGTGATCGAGCAATGATCCAATTTTTTGTAGCAATTTTTATTACAAGAATAGTTATGTAAAGACTAGTATAGACATTGTTTGCACAAAGGAAAATATATATACAAAAAATGTCTGTCTTGCAGCAATGGAAAACTATGGGCTCAATGCATTAAGTGAAGTCTTGAAGGGAGTGGTGCTGGAGTATAGCGAAAATACACGATTCTTGGTCAATTTTGATCTTTCAAGTAATCAACTAGTTGGAGAAATCCCTTTGGAGCTGACAAACCTCACTGACTTGATCGGTCTCAATTTGTCTCATAATCATCTAAGAGGACAAATCCCATTGAAGATTGGAGATATGGTCTCTCATGAATCACTTGATCTTTCCAACAACTATTTGTTTGGAACAATTCCATAGAGCTTAGCAAAGTTGACCTTTCTGAGTCATTTGAACTTGTCCAACAATAATTTGTCTGGGCGTATCCCGATGGGACCTCAACTTCAAACACTCAACGGAAGTTCGGATTATGAGGGAAACCGTGGACTATGTGGGGCACCATTGGCCCAACAATGCGAAGTTATTAGAACATCGACAAAAGGTAAAAATAGTGGGGAGCATGGTGATGATGGAAATGCAGCCGATAAGTTATACCTCTATGAATTTGTAGTTGGTGGTTTTGCCACTGGATGCCACTGGATTATGGGGTTACTTTGGAGTTTTGATCTTCAAAAAGAGTTGGCAGCAAACACTGTTCGGGTGGATGGATGCTCTGTTGAAAAAAATGATGGGTTGGAGTTAGCCTGCTATAGCTTGAGTTTACAAGGGGACTTTGCAACTTTGTTTCATATTGAATTGTTCTTTAAGTTGTATCCTTGTGTTTGATGTGATCTTTGTGGTGTGTTTGATGTTGGTGTTATATGTATTGTTTTAAGTGTTATAAGTTTGATGTGGATTATTTTTTTTTTTTGTTCATTTTTGTATAACTTGTAAAGTGTACGTGTGATGCACGTCATGCATAATATATATAGTTCTTTAGCTTTTAAATTATGCATTTATATATTTTTATAATTTATTCATTTTTTTCATCACTATTTTTATTTAATAGAAAATTGTGCTTTGCATAATAATACGTAACAAAATGTTTTCAAAGTTGAAACATAATTTTTTAATCAGAGTAACATTTTAAAGTCACTAGTAAAGTGCACGTGCATCGCACGTGGTGATAAATGTTTTTTGCCGATTGAATTCAGTAAAATTAATTGATTATTTAATTTAACATATCATTGCAGGAATGAAGTAAAATATAGAATAAAAGAGCTTCTAATATTTTTTTTTTTAAATAGCATAATGATGTCCTAATATAAAAAGAATGAAATAACATATTACAACTCCAACAAAAATATAGTCTCTAATGGAAAAAAATACTAAACAACTAAATAAGGACCTAATGAATATTATAGATGTATTAGTTATTTTATTTAATTATAATAGATGATTAAAGAGTGATTTTTTTCATTTTGGTTTTGACATTTTCATAAGTAACATTAATGCTAGTTGTAGTCCAGTACATCAATAGTGTTGCAAATTTTTTCTTAATTCATTTGACAAAACGTCTACATTATTCACTAACTTATAAATATACTGGCCAAACATATAATCAAACTTCATTATTGTATGACCTTAAAAGGTAATCAATCACCGACTTGTCTGAAAAAATATTATCATTCCCTGAATGATTTTTTTCAATGTTATTTATTTGGAAGGCAAACGAACTATATAACCTATTGTTTGCAAATCATTGACCATCTTGGTTGTTGCAATAATTTTAAAGTCACTAGTAAAGTGCACGTGCATCGCACGTGGTGATAAATATTTTTTGTCGATTGAATTCAGTAAAATAAAGTAATTAATTTATCAAACATATCATTGCAGGATAAAGTAATATATAGAATAAAGGAGCTTCTAATGTTTTTTTTTTTTTTAATAACATAATGATGTCCTAATATAAAAAAAATGAAATAACATATTACAACTCCAACAAAAGAATTTTGCTACTTTGCCACCCTCCATTACAACATGGTTTACAACCATGTGTAATGGAGACATTAAAAATGCAATAATGCACATTTTGCAATGCCTCCATTACACATGGTTGTAAACCATGTTGTAATGGAAGGTGGCTATGTAGCATCGCCCCAACAAAAATATAGTCTCTAATGGAAAAAATTCTAAATAACTAAATAAGGACCTAATGAATATTATAGATGCATTAGTTATTTTACTTAATTATTTTAGATGATTAAAGAGTGATTTTTTTCATTTTGGTTTTGACGTTTTCATAAGAAACATTCATACTCGTTGGAGCCCAGTACATCAATAGTGTTGCAAAATTCTTCTTAATTCATTTGACAAAACGTCTACATTATTCAATCACTTATAAATATTCTGGTCAAGCATATAGTCAAACTTCATGATTGTATGATCTTATAAGGTATTCAATCACCGACTTCTCTGAAAGAAATTTTATCATGCCCTAATTACTTTTTTCAATGTTATTTATTTGAAAGGCAAACGAACTATATAACCTATTGTTTGCAAATTATTGACCATCTTGGTTGTTGTAATAATTTTAGCAAATCATGTCGAGTCCAGTAGAGCATCTTAACAAATTAAACGGCTATTTTTATCAGTCTGAGCATAGTACTTAGTAATTGTTTATATTATATTTCAGTTTGATCAGGCATCAGATATCAGCACTGCCTTTCATTTTCAAAGGATCAGGTGGGGACTTAGACTTAGTACTACATTGATTATAATTACGCTACCATGTTTGAGGTATGTATTATCAGTATCCGCTCGGAATGGTCACCGGTCCATTCTGGGTTCTAGTGGCCTTATTCTGCCCACTAGAGTGTGCACATGGTGTCCGGCTTATACCGGCAGATGTTCAGTTATCAGTCAGGCGATGTATATCACGAGATCAGTATCAGATTATTCAGTACCGGTATCAGTTATGAGTTTCAGTTTCAGTTCAGTATCAGTTATATATGTCAGGATCATGATATTGTTATTATTTTCACTATTTACTTTAGTATGAGTTTCTGCGGAGCACAGTGTGTTAGTGCTCACTCCCCCACATTATTCATGTTTTTCAGGTCACAGGGTCGGAGTCGAGGAGTGAGCTGGCGACCGGTTCAAGACATTTGTAAATTTATGTATAATCATGTTTTGGCTACACTATGATTCTGCTACTGTTCAGTTTTCCAAACCAGCTTTTGATCTGACGTTAGTCGGTTATTATTTTATATAACCGTTTTATTATTAAACTAAAATAACGGTTTCAGATAAAGTCAGATTTCATGGTAACACTCTGAATCAGTATTTCACAAAAGAAATATTTTAATTATTTTTATTTGGAAAATTTGCGAAAAGCGCACTCTGAATTTCATGAAATAGCGGGGTGTTACAATTGGTATCAGAGCACGTTTCTGCGTCTCTAAAAGTTTTACGAGTCAAAACTTTGCAAAAACCTGAACCTGTCACACTCACGCCTCGCCGACTACAGGTAAGTGCTGATTTATGTTTTAAGATATAATTTAGTTTTTCTATGCTAAAAAATATCTCAGTTATGACTTAGTTAAGATGCTCGAATCATGTTCAGGATCAGTAGTCAGTATACTCAGGATTTAATGTTAGTATTTTCCAGTCATGTTTAGCAACTCGTCAAGAAATTTGTGCACTTTATTGATCAGCTTCATTGATGTCATCAGTAAGGATTCCTGAATCATAATACAGAACCTTAGAAAGGGCTAAATTTAAGAACTCTAGATTAAATTCTAGATTTATTCAGGTCGAGTTTATAAGTCTTCAAGAGATTTGTAGGCACTTGTGTTATACAAATCTTAGCAATCATGTTCCTCAAATATTTTCTATCGGAAATTGTCGATTTTTCCAACTAATTAGCAAATTTCAAGGAGGAATTCCTTGATTCAACTCAAGGAATAGACTCAAATTTCTCAAGTCAGGTCAGTAAACTATGTTCAGGGCGAAAATTTTCATACTAAAGGTTGTAATAATTTTCAAGTCATTGTCAAGGTAACGGTTTCCAGTGTATAAGAGTCAATAGTCTGGGTTACCTTAGAGGCTTGAAATAAGAGCCACTCAGTCGGGTATACCATGGAGGCTTGAAGCTGGGACCGGAGCAGTATGATTTCATATAATCACAACCTTTAAAGTCAGTCATGTCATGTATTTTGTCAGTCAAGATACTTCAAGTTAAGGTTTTCAAAGATCAAGATCAGCTAATTCCTTTGTACTTGCGGAACCAGTTGATACTGGAACAGCCCTATACAGTACATAGTCATAAGTCAATGTTCAAGATTAAAAGTTAATGTTCATGATTTAAGGTCTACGTATAATAGTTGTTCAGTCGGGTAAAATGTGAAGGTCTGATATACAGACCATTAGTCCAAATTTACCTGGAAACTTGAAGTCGCACCTTATCAAGTCAAGTAAATCAGTAAATGTCAAGTTTTCAAATTTCGAAGCGACTATTTAGTTGTCTCGGGATAGCTTTCAAAGTTCAGGCAAAGATTGTAATATCCCGATATTTTGTCAGTATAAATTATGTTTTAGTTCCGATATAATAATGTTATCGATTATTATTTTCAGAATTAATTATTTTCAGTCGAGATTACCGAAATTTATTTTCAACGTACCGGTTACGTTCGAAATAATTTTGGTAATTAAGTATTATGTTTAATTAAATAATTAAACATAATTAGTGATTAATTTAAGATTAATCACGACCTAATAGGTAATTGAGTGGGAATTTTTCCAAGTAATTGGAAAAAGGCGTACGAAAATTGTAGGCTTCCCAACTTTTATGACCACTTCTTAAGTCTTAAGAAACATATTTTTCCTTTCTAATTGAAGCATTAGCAACGTGGCATTAAGAGGTAGATTTGAGGATGAATAATCCATCTTAATTACTAGATAAATAGCAAGTGTCCAAAGCCAAAATAGGCCACGTCCATGCTATGTCACTCCATCTCTCTCGGCCTTCTCTATATAAATGGATGAAGAGTTGGGAAAATGTCCATTTTTCCCATAAGTATGCTTAGTACATCCTCCTTCCAAATACTTTTTACGATAAGCAAGCTTTAAGAAGGCCAAGCTCACTCCTCACGCATGACAATACGTATTGCATCGCACGGTAAGCCACGCACAAGGCACACGCACGCAAGGTTACGATCGGTTTGCGAATTCCGTCGAACACTCAAGGAGGTGTAGCTATTCTCAGCATAGTTTCATGTTAATAAGGTCATGTATGAATAAAATTTTCGGTTCATGATTCAAAAAAAACAAAAAAAAAATTCATAGATAAGTCATGATAAGGTTCGGTTGTGCCTAATGAA